GAAAACCCAAAATCTCTGTAAATGTTCATTAAAACTAATAAAATTTAATAATAATAAAAAAACTAAAAAAAAAATTAAAAATACTTGAGAGTAAAAAAAAAAAAATTAATAGCCATTGAACTATGTCCATCATTACCCCGTGTTTTCTGGTCCCTGCCAGATCCTTCCTATTTTACCCCCTTCCTCCACCCACAAAATTGTGTAACCTTGTGATTTTCGCCTGCCTAACCTCACTTATAGTAGAACCAGCAAGACAGTGACCTGGATTAAACTGTGTACACCAAAAAGATATAGTTACAAAATCCATGCAGTATGCATAATGGCAGTTATACAATGATACCTCATAATCTGATAAATTAATTTGCTGTAAAGGGATTAAGGGTTTAATACAACCCCCTCAAAGCAGCCAGAGCCCTGGTATAAAAACTAAGCAGAGTTTCAATTTAACATCACCTGTGAAGTCTCATTTCACCTGAGATAAAAGCAGAGAGAAGGGAGAAGAAAGAGTGTGCGCTTGTGAAAGAGAGAGAGAGAGACACAGACAGAGACAAAGAGAGACACAGACAGATGGGGGCAGCAAGACAGAAGAGCTGAAAGCAGGGAGTGTCCTCTGGACATAGGACCCCAAGTTGTGAAGCTTTTCAAGAAGAGCTCTCCAAGGAATGCGGGGCTGAAAGATTACTGAAAGGACCTTTCTTAAGAGGCCAGAGAGAGACAAAGTCTTCCCCTGCCAGTAATGCCATGGATTTAGAATTTTAGACTCCTAAAGTCTGAAATAATAAACAGTTTGTTAAATCCACCTAACCATGACATTTTTGTTATAGCAGAACAAGATAACTATACTTTTAAAATATGGCCTTCCAAAAAATAATATGAGAGGCTAGACCACCAGAATCACTCAGCTTTAGGACTGGGGAAAGCTGCATTATGTTGACTGCACAACCCTGCTTGATGGAAGTGAAGGCTTGAAGCATTTACTGGTGAGGACCAAAGACTACGGCCTCCAGTATAGATAGCATCTCAACATAAAAAAGACAAAATCTTCACAAATGAACCAGTAAGCAACATCATGTCAACTGGACAAAAGATTGAAATTGTCTATGATTTCATTTTACTTGAATCAACAATCATGAAAGAAACAGCCAGGAGATCAAATGATACATCAGAGGTAGCAAATCTGCTACAGAAGATCTTTCTTAAAGAAAGAAATGCAAAAATGTTACTTTGAGAACTAAAGTCTTCTTCACGGCAGCCATGGTACTATCAATTTCCTTTGTGATTCGATGAGTTCGAACCCAGCAAAGATTAGGATGGTGCAGTACCACAGGGGTCACTGTGAGTCAGTCCACGAAAAGGCAATCTCCTCCTGTTCGATTTCTTGCCTCTGAAAACCCCCTGGAGAGTCAGCTATGAGTCAGTTCCAACTTGAAGAACTCAACAAAAATAAGAATCTGAACCAACTTGATAGCATCCAGCAACAACAATGACAAAGATATACACATCTGATCTGCTTGTCAAGTTGGCTCTGGTGGTCTAGTGACAAGTGCTGTGCTGCAATCCCAAAAGCATGTGGTTCAAGGCCACCAGCTGCTCCATGGGAGAAAGATGGGCAATGTCCTCTCGTGTGATTAACTGCCTCTAAAAACCTGCTGGAGGGTCACCTATGGGTTGGTTCTGACTCCATAGTGCACAATAACAACAAACAACTGTTAAAAAGGGAAGAACTCACTTGACACTTCTAAAGCTGAACAACAAATTTAAGCTTCAAGATACAATACTGAAGGATGCTATGGGCAAGACACTGAGTGATTCAGGAAGCATCCAAAGGAGACACAGTCACTGTACCAAAAAGAATTGACTGACATTGAAAAATTTCAGGAAGCACCTTATGAGCAGGAACCACTGGTAATGAAGGAAGAAGCTGAAGCTACACTGAAGGCACTGGCAAAAAGGAAGGCAGCAGGAATTGACAGATACGCTTTACCTATCAGATGCAGCCCTGGATGCGCTCATCAGTCCATACCAGGAAATCTGGAGGAGACCTGTCTGCCGAGTGACTGGAAGAGACATGTATTTGTTCCCATTCTCAAGAAAGGTGATTCAAAAGAATGTGAAAATTATCAAATAGTGTCATTAATATCACATACAAACAAAATGCTGCTGAAGATCATTCAAAATTAGCCAGAACAGTACACAGACAGGGAACCACCAGAAGTTCAAGAAGGATTTAGGAGAGGCTGTGGCACCAGGGATATTACTGCTGATGTGAGATGTATACTGGCTGGAAAAAAAAAAATACCAAGAAGAATGCCAATTTACTTTATTGACTACGCAAAGGCATTTGACTATGTGGATTATGACAAATTATGGCTAGTATTGAGAATAATGGTTAATTGTGCTAATGTGAAATCTATACTTATACCAAGAGGCTCTTGTGAGAACAGGACAAGGGAGCACTACATGGTTTAAAATTAAGAAGGGAGTACATCAAGGGTGTATCCTCTCTCCATCTCTATTACATCTCTATGCTGAGCTACTTATTCAAGAAGCTGGACTCTATGAAGAATGTGCCATCAGGATTGAAGGAAGACTCATCAATAACCTGTGTTATGTAGATGACATAACCTTCCTTACTGAAAGTAAGTAGGACTTGAAGTACTTGCTGAAGAAGATCAAAGAATATACTTTAAATATATATTACATCTCAATGTCAAGAAAACAAAAATTCTTACCCACTAACATCATGACGGAGAAAACATTGAAGATAGCAGTAATTCACCTTACTTAGATCCATGATTAACATCCCTGGTACCAGCAATCAAGAGATAAGGATACATACTGCACTGGGAAGGTCTGTAGTCAGGGACCTATTCAAGTTACTTAGGAGCAATGATGTCAGTCTGACGGACAAGGATGGCAGAAGAATAATTGATGCCTATGAGCACTGAATATCCCATGGAGATATCCCAAGAGAACAAATATGTCTTAGAGAAAGTACAGCCAGAGTGCTCCTTGGAGGCAAAGATGATAAAGCTTCATTTCAGATACTTTGAGCTTGTTGCTAGGAGGAGCTATTTCTCAGAGAGGGACATCATGCTTGGAAAGATGGATGCTCAGTAAAAGAGGGGAAGACCTTCAACAAGATTTATTGACACAGTGACAGCTGCCATGGGCTATAGGGTGTCAGGAAGTGTAAGACTGACACAGGATAGGATAGGGTTCAGATCTGTTCATGGGACTGTTATGGGTCATACTGTGGCTCAATAGCACCTAACAACAACTGTTATAAAGACCCACATTAACTTGTTTTTACTGACTGAAAGAAATCCTAAAAAAGATTTTCTTTTTTCCTTTCATGGAAGGATGGCCATAAAGGGAAACTGGAGTTTACCATTTACCATTTGTTTTTCAATAAAGTACACAGAGCACGCTGTCCACCTCCCTCCCAGAACACACACTCAGGACCTCAGCACCAAGCTGCCCCCAGTGTGAATTATCCCTGGGAACACTGCATGTTAGTGTTACTTAAGGTTTTATATGTTATTTTCCACATTATTTTGGGGCTAAGAAATATAAGGCATTTTCCCCCATATAGATTAACACTAGCTATGTTGGAGAGGGACATCATGCTTGGGAGGGTTGAGGGACAATGCAGGAGGGGAAGACCCTCTATGAGATAGATTGATTTTGTGA